AGTCCCGCATCGGGCTCCCTGCTCAGCGGGGAGTCTGCTTCTCCCTCTGACCCTCCTCCCTCTCATGTACTCTCTCTCATTCTCGCTCTCTCAAATAAATAAATCTTTAAAAAAAAAAAGAAGATGTGGCATATATATACAATGAAATATTACCCAGCCATATAGTTATATTCCTCTCTCTCTCAAATAAATAAATAAAATCTTTAAAAAAAAAAAAAAAGAAGAGGTAAGAACTTTAACAGTCTACATATATCACGCTATGTTTTCTAAAGCTTTCTCCCGTAGAATTTAGAAACCCCTTTTCCCCTTTGAGGTTATTCCGGTTGACATGTTTTAAAGCCAGGAGAGTTTGATTTTGTATCATTAGAGTTAAAGCATGTAAATCACTTGGCAGTTTTTGTTTCCATACCTAATAGGTAAATACACATTTCTAAAATGATCTCACAGTTTTTTAAAAAGTTTCCAAATGTACATTTATAAAAGTCTTATTACTAAATAGCTATTTTGTTCTTTACTGTGATGTAACAAAAACAGGGTGTGTGGCATTTGGAGCTGGAGTCCAAAGCCTGTCTCTGTCATTTGAAGAATGGAGACGTGAGTAGGTAGCTCTCAGTTCTGGGGAAAAAACTCAGGGAGATAAGTTAGACAAACACCAGAAGTCAGCAGGTTATGAGTAACGCACCAAGTGCTTCTTCCTACAACCATAATCCATGCCTGGCATTTTTGTTGTTGTTGTTCTTCAAGCTAATTTGAAAACTCAGAAAGTAGAGGAGGAAGATGGTGATCATGTGTCAGCTTCTCTGGAACATTTCATTTATGATTGTTTTTAAATAGTAACAACAGGACACTTTTAGGAAATCTTCGTATTACTTAGAGCAAGACTCACCTGCACAGGTCCTTGAGGAGCCATAAAGAATAGAACGGAAGAGTGTGTTGGAACATGAGGGGGCAGCAAAGCATCAGGGATGCCCAAGCCATCGCGGTATCGTGCTGTTCTGTATTTGTTTGGGAATACAGCCATGTCTCTTTGGATATAATTAGTCCTTTGGAGCATTTCGTTTTCAAACGATGTTAACTCAGGAAAAGTCATCTCATAAAACCTTGTTGTGTCTTCACAATATCACTTTTTACTACGTTTCTAATTTCCATATTTTAAATTGCTTTATTTAATCATTTTCAAATTAAGGATTTTCACACAAGAATGTAACTCAGGGAAGTTTTATTTAAGCTTCTCTGTCGTAAAGATGAGAAAACTGAGGGGCACCTGTGTGGCTCAGTCGGTTACACGTCCGACTCTTGATTTTGGCTGAGGTCATGATCTCAGGGTCGTGAGATGGAACCCTGCATTGGGCTCCACACTCAGCATGGAGTCTGCTTCGTGTTCTCTCTCTCTCTCTCTCTTTCCTTCTGCCCTTCTGACTCATTCTCTCTCTCTCTCTCTCTCTAAAATAGAGTTGAGAAAACTGAAACCTCATAAGAGTCAATGCTACTTAGACATAGATCCAGGAATAAATATCTCTGAGTCCAGGGGCCTTCTTATGCCCTGTAAAATCATCCATCTTAGTAGGGTAGCCTTCAGACCCACCATAGAAGTGTATATTTGGGGAAAGTAAAAGAAGAATTAAGGGATATTATTGTGATGATGTTATTATATGATGATATTATTCTGAGCAA